CTCTCTCTCTCTCTCTTTCTTTCTTTCTTTCTTTCTTTCTGACAGGGTCTCACTATGTAGTTTCATCTGGAACTTGCTATGTAGACATAGACCAGACTAGGTTTAAAATCACAGAGATTCCTGCTGCTGCTGTCTCCCCGGTGCTAGGATTAAAGGCATGGGCCATTCTACGTACATAATTTTCTTCTTCTTGGAACAGATGATACCTTAGAACTCTGTTTTAGAAATACCTTCTCTGGATCCTCAGGACAAAGTCTCATGTTTGTCCTTTTGTCTAGTATGTATTAAGGCACAAGTTAATCTTGAGAGAGAAATTCCTTCATCACTTTTATTTTTGTTTTTTTGTTTTTGTTTTTTGTTTGTTTTGTTTTGTTTTTAAGGTTTTTTGAGACAGGGTTTCTCTGAGTAGTCCTGGCTGTCCTGGAACTCACTCTGTAGACCAGGCTGGCCTGGAACTCAGAAATCCTCCTGCTTCTGCCTCCCAAGCGCCGGGATTAAAGGCGTGCGCCACCACCGTCCGGCTTCCTTCATCTCTTTTAAGAAACTGTTTGGATATTTGAGTTACTGTTCTTTTTTTTGAGATAGTTACAACTGTATCTACAGCAGATCAACCAAGATCAGAAAGTAGATGGAACAAGGAACTAGTTGAAAATGACTTTCTCAGGTATATTTGAATAACAAAACTTGCAAAAAGTATAAGCAGTCTCTAAGGTGTATTCTTTCTTAGCCCTAAACTTTGATATTTTTTCAAAGAAAAATTAATTATTGAAGGATAATTAGAAATGAATTAGTGGTGCTGTTTTGGCTATTTAAATTCCTTTACGAAGCATTGCATTTATTATTACTGTGTTGGGGCACACATGTGGAATCGGTCCCCCTTCACGTTCATGGGGGTTTCTGGGATGGAATTGAGGGTTGCCTAGCTTGTGTACTCTGGTGGCTTGAATGAGAATGCCTTCATAGAGTCATATATTTGAACACTTGGTCTCCAGTTGGTGGCTCTTTGGGGGAATTAGGAGATGTGGCTTTGCTGGAGGAAGTAAGTCACTGCTGGCGAGCTTTGAAGTTTCAAAAGACTTGGCCATTTTGAGTTAGCTTTTTCTGCCTCCTGTTTGTGGATCACCATGTGAGCTCTCAGCTTTACCTATTGCCTGTTTTGCCATTCTGGACTCTATCCCTTTGAAACCACCAGCCCAATTAAATACTTTGTCCCATAAGTTTCCTTAGTAATGGTGTTTTGTCACAGCAATAGAAAACTAAGATAATATGGCAAGTGCCTTTACCTGCAGAGCCATCACACTGTCCTTAGTTATTTGACTTCTTATTCCTTAAAGAGATGAGAATATTATGTTTTACATGGAACCACTGCTACCCAGAAAATATATTAGGAAATCTATTTGGCTCATGTCTTTAATCTGAACATTTGAAAGACTGAAGAATGAGGAGCTCTCAGCAGTTGTGAGCTCTTGGGACAGACATTCAAGCAGGGCAGGAACCTGGAGGCAGGAGCTGATGCAGAGGCCATGGAGGGATGCTGCTTACTAGTTTGTTCCCCATGGCTTGCTCAGCCTGCTTTTTTATAGAGCCCAGGACCACCAGTCCAGGGGTGGAACCGCCTAAAATGGGCTGGGCCCTCCCCCATTAATCACTAATCAAGAAAATGCACCATAGGCTTGCTCACAGCTCAATGCCGTAGAGGCATTTTCTTAGTTGAGACTCCTCTCTGATGACTCTAGTTTGTGTCAAGTTGGCATAAAACTAACCAGGACATCAAACACCCAGTTTTTTCTATCATCCCTCCAAAACAACAAACCAAAAACATTAAAAAAGAAAGAAATGCAATTATCTCATATTAAAAACAACCAAAGAAAGAGAAATCTGTAATATTCCCTCTTATTCTCTCAATGAGAACCACTTAGGTAGTTATGAAACCATTCTATAAATATCTTCTGAAATTCTTTATTTCCAGAGTATATTAGAAAATAAAAGAGCCTGGAAATTAGCAAGTATATACATTTTTTTCCCTCCTTCCTTCCCTCCCTCCCTCCCTCCCTTCCTCCCTTCCTTCCTCCCTCCTTCCTTTCTCCTTCCCCCTTCCTTCCTTCCTTCCTTCCTTCCTTCCTTCCTTCCTTCCTTTCTTTTTTTTTTCATTTCATTTTGTTTTGTTTTTCAAGATGTGTTTCTCTGTGTAGTCCTGGTTTTCTTAGAAGTCACTCTAGAAACCAGGCTGGACTCGAACTCAGACATCCATCTGTCTCTGCCTCCTGAATGCTGGGATGAAAGGTGTGTACCACCATTGCCTGGAAAGTACATACAGTTCAAAACCAGCTTTAATTTTTTTTTTTAAATGGAGCTGGAGAGATGGCTCAATGGTTAATAGCACATGCTACTCTTGAAGGGGCCTGGGTTCAGTATCTAGCACCTATACCTATATGGTTCACAATCATCAGTAACTCCAGTTCCAGGGGATTCACTGTCCTCTTCAGACCTCCATGGGCATTAGACACACACTTGGTGCACAGATACACATGTAGACAAAATATCCATAAACATAAATACACCTAAAAATGTTTACAGTTTTGATTACATTGTTTATTTATTATATGTGTAGATATATACATGAAATGGCACAAATATGGAGATCAGAGTACAATTTATAGTAAGTCTATTCTCTTCTGCTATGTGCGTCCTGGGGCTCAAACTCAGATCCTCGGCTCGGCAGCAGAGCTCCTCCACCTTCTGAGTATCTTGCTAGCTGATGGTCAGCTTTTATGCTTCATGATATTCTAAAGCCACATGCTTAGGTTCCTAATGAAATGAAGGACTTCTATTTACTTATTCTTTTCTTTTATAGGAATATATATGTCCCAGATGTGAATCAGGCTTTATTGAGGAAGTGACAGATGATTCCAGGTATTGTATAAGCTTATGGATAAACCAAACTTTCTAGTATTGAATAGTATTGAAACTGTTTTCCCTTAGTGTTGACTGAGTGGAATGGAAGGAATTTGTTTGTAGCTCACCCTTTCCTGGGAGTAGAGACTGACACACACACACACACACACACGAGGAGAAGAGAACAGGAGATGGAAAGGAAAGAAAATTTGGAAATCAATGTGATCATATGATTTTATCTGATTGCATCACACCTAGAAAACCTCTGTAGCCATATCAAAGGAAACTTACTAAGTTTTCGTTTGCTTCTTTGGGGGTCCTCTTGGATTACTAATTAATTCTTAGTGACTACTTTGTTGCCGGAAGTTAAAATGATGCACATATTTGGTGGGCTATGGAGTGACTTCTGAGAAGGACACTAACAAGGCAAACAATAGATTCTAGCCCAGGAAGCTGAGCTGTTTCTTGCCTTGAGAGCCACAGGTCCCCTGTTCAGATGAAGATTGGTGTTGTCAGGCTGCCATTATGCTGCTGTAATATTAATATTTGGGTTTGTTTTCTTGGCTTTGGTAAAGGTATAATATTGATAAAAAGAGGAAATATTTTCTTAAGTGGTAATATATTTCTTGGGTTTTTTTTGTGAATAAAACTGTAATAACTTAATTCTAGCACTTGACAATTTGAAAAAATATAAACTGCTTAAAATGAATCTTGGAGTGACTTTGGAGCTGTATGCCAGTTCATAATTCCCTTACATTGCTGTTGGCAGAATCTAAAGTTGAAGGTCTCTTCCACAACCAGGAAAAACTACACATTTTAAAGTATGTACTGTTAGTTTTACTGTTCTAATTGTTGATGATTGTATGTGTAAATGAGTTGGAGCTTCTGGGGCAATGTGTGGCATGGGATCTAGTTTGGTATACACACTTGAATGTTGATGTAACAGTTTTGGCTTTAAATAACAATGCCAGCATTATGCCTGTAAGATTAGCATGACAGCAAAATTAGTAGCGTGTGGATGGCATGCTACGTGGAACTTTTCTGGTGTTATAGTTGCCTCAAATACTTAAGCTCTTATGCTCTGCATGTGTTGATATGTACTGCATATGTACTGGGCATAGGGGAGTGACTCATGGATGTTCTCCTAAGTTTTAAAATAGGAATTCTGATTTCTTTAGACATAGAGAACTTTTATAGAAAGTGCAGTTATACCTGGCTATAATAACTAGCTACAATCTGGATACTTTATGGCAGGTTACTATGAACTCTGGATTTTATTTTCACTCAACTCTTATATTGGTGCCTGTATAGGTCAAAGACTGTCCCGTATAGATGCTAGTGGTGGCAACTATTCAAAAGTAAATATTGTTTTGAATGAAGTCAGTGGCGTTTTTTTCTTTTTTTAGACCCCCCCCCCTTTTTTTTTTCTCAAAACTTGACTGTCCTGGAACTTATTCTGTGGGCCAGTGTAGCCTCAAACTCAAAGAGATTTGCTTGCCCTTACCTCTGGAGGGCTGGAACTAATGGTGTGTGCCACCTCTGCCTGGTGAAGTCAGTGCATTTAAAGAGGGAAGAAATCTTATTCTTAGACTCAGAGTCTTACGGGCAATGAATTATTATTCCCTTTTATAAAATTTGTAAGTATTTGCTGACTTTAGTACTTAGCAATTTCAGTGATTAATAGTGAATAATAAAAACGTATTAAGGCCGAGCCTGATGTTACAGCCAGAGATTCTAGTTCCTCAGAAGCGAAGCAGGATGAGTAGAGGATCCTGAGGCTTGCCTGGGCTATAAAGTTCTCAGGTCAGCCTGCTCACTTAGACCTGGTCTCTAGAGAAAAAGTAAAAAGAGAAAATGTAGCTCAGTGGTAGACATGTTTGTCTATTTTGTATGAGGCCCTAGGCTCAACCCCAGTACCAGAAAAATAAGTCAATATGAGGAAGTCTTTGCATGTAAATATAAGATAGTGGGCCCCATCTACTTCCACACATGCTAGAGGACATCTTGTAAATTTTCTTAATTTTTGTAAAATTTATTAGAAAATTGTTGTTTTTATTATGTCTTCTATGCTTAGTTCTTTTCCTCTTAAGGTGCAGAAGAACTAGTTTGGGCTGCATAGTGAGTTCAGGGCCAGTTTGAACTATGAGGTCAGACCATGTCTCAGAAACAAGACCCCCCCCCCAACCTAGGAAAGATGATTCTTAGAGGCCTGTTAGATTTGGGCAATAAAATATCTGTACAGCCATGGATTATGAAATCTAGTAGTTCAATTATTTATTTAGTATAGGTGTTGCATAATTAAAATGATTTTTTAAAAGTATTTTTAACCTCTTATACAAACACAAGTTTCAAATGGTTTCTCATCAGAGTAAGGCTTGAGATGAGTGCAGAAAGAACAATATTTGCTTTAGTTTTAGACTAACTAGGGTGTGTTTTTTTTCCTCAGTGAGCTCAGTGCTGTGCCTGGAGTAGTATTATAATCCTGAAGATGAAAGTAGTCTTCAGCAGTTCAGAGGTTTATGGTTAGGATGCATGCTTGTGTTTGTTGCTGGAAGAGCTTTCTAGCAGGCTTTTGTGATTCAGTTCTTCCTTCCTTTTAAAAAGTGTTAGCCAGTTTCTTCTCTGCAAATTTCATATGGGTAGTGGGATTTAATTTCTTCCTGTTCTTTTGGGTCCTTGAAAAGAGGTATTTTATCAATTAGACATGTGCTATTAAATCAGCAACTTTTAATTTGCAATTACAGGTATAGGATATGCCATCACAAGGTTTTCAGAGTTGACATCTGACAAATAAATGTATATATGTGAGGTATTAATTATAAAATACAGTTTTTGGCCTTTCTGTTTATATTTATGAAAGGAGCAAAGGGTTGAGATGGTTGATGCAAATCCTAGCTATTAATAATACAAGGTAGAACTTAGAACCAGAGTCAGCGCAGAGGGATGTGGAGGAGTCATATTCGTTTGGTGAGGTCAGAAGCAATTCATGGGTGAGGTAACCCTGAAGACTGGGTAGGATAATCTAAGAATAGGATAACCTATTCAAAGAAGAAATACATACTGAATTCTTTCTTATCTGCTAATCTATACCAGGCCCTTTATATTACACATGTAGTAATTCCAGAAGATACTAACCTCGGTTGTCTTGATCATCTATCTAGTCAAATGGTTTCATGCTGAAATATTTTTTTGTTTTCTTAGACTCTTTGAGGATACATATTTACTTTTCTTTCTTTGCTAGGCTAACTTTGAATTGTATTACTGGCTGTAAGTCCTTTCTGTGCAATGACTCTCTCTATAAATTTCCACTTGATGTAGCTTTAATTCATTTGAAAACCCACTTGATTTTGTTGTTTGGTATGCCAGTTTTCTTTTGCCTCTCTTACTGTTTAACTTGTAAAGACACCTTACAGACGAGGTGTCTCTGGCAGGTGTCCTGCTGGGATGAGTGAGTGTCCCCACTGAGCTTTGTCTCATTTGGCCATTCTATATTTAGCTTCTGGGAAGGGAGAGAGCTCATCCCTGGAAATAGAGTCACCACCATTCCTTTTCTCTTTAGTTTTTTAGGTGGTGTTGGAAGCCGGACAGACAATAGCACAGCAACACATTTTGCCGAGGTAAGTTTTCCTTTGACTGTAGAGATTGCTCAGGGCATGGCTGGGGATTGAAGTGACAGATAACCAACACCTAGTGCAGCATCACTGAGGATGAATGTGTAAGAAGAACACAGTCAAGGAAAGGTCTGTGTCGTCGGTAGCTAAGGGTTTGGCATGTTTCTTCTGAGGAAAATGTCATAGTCTGTAAAATATCCTGCTGCAAACCTGGTTGTGTTTTCTTTTTCTGCTGCTGCTTTCTGTATATGAATTAAAAGCTTGTGATGTTTGCAGAGCATCGGTGCTATAGCCTCCACTGCATTGGCAGCCCAGATGGCTTATTACCCAAATTGTAATAAAACAGTTTTAAAACAACATTGTATAATACTAGTTTCTAGAATTTACCTTTTGTTAACATGGTAGTTTGCTGTGAAATAAGTATATTTATGGCCTTTTAGATCCTAAGATGGGACCCTTAATTAATTAACTTCTAGTCCTTTGTATAATGTAGCATCCATATATTGAATATGAGTTCTCTCTCTTCCTCCCTCCCTCTTCCTCTCTCTCTCCCTCACCTGTCTCTCTCTGTGTGTCTCTGTCTCCCCCGCCCCCCCGGCCCCCCACCTTTGCCCCGAGACAGGTTTCCCTATATGGTCCAGGCAGGCTTCATACTCACTATATAACATTGGTTGGCCTTGAAAACATAATTCCTCCTGCGTCAGCATCCTAGGTGGTAGGATTCATAGGCATATGGATGGCACCAGCCCAGTTAGAAAATCAAAACTCTGAATTATTATTTGAAAACAGAGCAGTAGGGCATTAGGCTGTGTCCTTTAATACCATTGATTTATCAGTTCAAAGTACTTTGGCTTTTCATCTCTTTCTTTTTGGCTTGTGTAACTGTTTGAACCTCTTGTTTCTTTAGAGAAGGGTTTCATAAGGTTTTTTTTTTTTTTTTTTTTCCTCAGCTTGTCTTAAACTCATGAGCTCAACTGATCCTCCTACCTCATCAGCCTCTGGAAAAACTGAGACTATAGACATATGCTGTTATGCCTAGTTCTTAAACTGTTTTAAGTACACAGTTCAGTGGTGTTCATATTCTGTGCTTGTAGTTGTTTAGAGACTGTTTCCCAAATGGGAAACCCCAGCTCACTGGACAGCAAACACTTTTACTTTCTTTTCTTTATGTATCTTTCTGTTGCCACAGAGCTTTCAGGTGCTGAAAGCTGGTAGATCACCAAAACAATTTTTTAATGTTAAATCCCATAATCAGAATTCCCTTTTATTTAGAATCTTAGTTAATAAGCCCATAAATCACTGAACTTTTCTTTTTTGAAAATTATCTTAAGATGTAAGTGTGTCTCCCTCCCTTGTTGATGACGTTATAGTCAAGAATTGTGTTAGGATGTTTCCTTTTGTTTATGGGTATGGTAATTGCTAACATCTAGTTCTAAGATTTTTAGTCAATTCTTAACTGCTTTAAGATAAGCTGATGTGAGCCTGACTCCAGACAGATCATAGTTTGAACACTCATTTGTGTTTTCTTGTTGATAGATTGAGGAACATTTAAACTCTGTGTGAAGCCTGGCAGTCTTCTTGATGTTAGCATTTCTCAGGGTGTGCTATTTCTGAGAGCACAGTCTGTTCTTGATTGTGTATGTGCAGAAGAAACTACACTTGATTTTCCCTGAGCATTGGTCCTCTTTTAGAAATGGAAATAGGTGGATCTGTCCGTTTTGTCTGTATGATTCACGAGGAGGAAATGCATTGAGTAAGAAGGAAAGTAAGTATATGTGGTCAGCATTCTAACTTTAGTCGGACTACATCTGACACCACGGCCTGGGCTACCCTTCAGATATTAATTGTGCAGAAGCCATGGTTGTGAGTTCATGTTCCTTATCAGTGACAGCCTTTGTAGTAAGGTGTAATCATGCCCAGTTTTCCCTCAGTAGAGTTTTCTTGTCACCATGCCTCAATATTTAATTTTAATTTTCCCTTTCTTTCTTTCTTTCTTTCTTTCTTTCTTTCTTTCTTTCTTTCTTTCTTTCTTTCTTTCTTTCTTCTTTCTTTTTTTTTTTTTAAGGTTTTTCGAGACAGGGTTTCTCTTTGTAGTCCTGGCTGTCCTGGAACTCACTCTGTAGACCAGGCTGGCCTCGAACTCAGAAATCCGCCTGCCTCTGCCTTCCAAGTGCTGGGATTAAAGGTGTACCAGTGCCCGGCAATATTTTTCTTTTTTTTTCTTTTCTCAAGACAATGTTTCCCTACGTAGCTCTGGCTGTCCTGGAACTTACTATGTAGACCAGGCTGCATTTATCTCCCAGAGGTCCACCTGCCTCTGTCTACTGAGTGTTAACTTTTTTTATTTTAAAATGATGTTTTGCATTTTATAGTTGGAAAAATATCTTTATAATAATATTGTTGCGAGAGATATTTGAAAAGCGGCAGCCCCCTGGCTGCAGCCTCTAAGTTTCAGCACTAACGGCGACATCTGTGGTGCAAAGACGACTGCAGGCTCCCAGTTCTGGTGCCATGTTGACAGAAATGAGCTTTACCGGTGGGCTACCTTGGCCCAGCTGGGTGTTCTCATCTCGGCAGGCTCTCCACCCCACGGTCAACTGTCGCAATGTCCAACAACCAAGTAAATCAAAACTCTAGATGCTCAAAGATAAACCAAATAGATTTATATATCAGCAAGTACTCAATACACAAGATGCCACACAATTAGAATTGTTATCCCAAATTACCTACTGCCAGAGGCATGAGGGTGATATCTGCAGCCATCTTGCCTCCCCTTCTCCTTTTCTCTTCTCCTCTCCTCCTCTCTCTTCCCCCTCTTCACCTCCCTTTCTACTACCCAATCACTGGTCTAGCCTTTGTTTTACAAATTAAGGTGGGCAGAAGGTTCACAAGAAGTCACCTGTATACTGATTCACGGCTTGTCTGCAGCCCCTCCTTGGGAAAGCAGAATTAACATTAAAATACAAGACCAGGTCTATCTACAACATAATATTATTGAAATACCCAAGGATTTTGAAGAATTGGGTGAAACCTTTTTATACATATTGCTTCTAATACAAGCAGGGGCAGGAAACACATGTTTGGTTGCCTTGCCTGCACAGTATTAAAGTGTAGTTGGAGAGTAAGTTTAAACACATCAAGTGAGTGGGAAGACACAGACACAGGAGTGTATTAACCGTCCTGTGGGGGCATGTGTAGAAGTACATTGGAAGGAAGACCATGTAGTCCAGCCCGACTGTATACAGTGACAGAGTACAGAGTCCATACACTAGGTATGCAGCCTAACTGTGTAACTACAACAAAGTTCCTTACAGTATGTCTGTGCCTGTCTGTTTCCTTGGGAGACTGACTATAGGGGAAATGGAAACATGAACTTCATAGGATGTTAACAACACACGCTTGGTATGTAGACCCCAATATGTCTGTCTTAAGACAGGGGCTGATAGATTAGAGCCATGAATGCATTTCATGGAGAAGGAATTTAGATTTTTTTAAAAAAGCTGTAAAAAAAAAAAAAACCTGTCTCAAAATAGTATTCTAAAGCTATATGTTTTTATATCCATGTCCCTAGAGACAAAAACAGCTTAGACTTAGAAATACAGTTAAATAGAGCACCAACACTTGCTTTCCATGTTCTAATTGATTATTTTACCACAGGCATATGTTTGATTTTTCTGTGTTTTTCTTTTTTTTGGTTATCTTATTTATTTACATTTGTTGTCCCCCTTCACAGTTTCCCCTCTGCAAACCCTCATCCCATCCCCCATTCCCCCTGCTTCTATGAAGGTGCTACCCACCCACCTACCCACTCCTGCTTCACTGCCCTAGCATCCCCCTACACTGGGGCATCAAGCCTCCACAGAACCAAGGGCCTCCCCTCCCATTGATGTCAGATAAGGCCATCCTCTGTTACATATGTATCTGGAGCCATGGGTCCCTCCATGTGTACTCTTTAGTTGGTGGTTTAGTCCCTGGGAGCTCTGAGGGGTCTGGTTGGTTGATATTGTTGTTCTTCCTATAGGGTTACAATCTCCTTCAGCTCCTTCAGTCCTTCCCCTAACTCCTCCATTGGGGCCCCCCCGTGCTCAGTCCGATGGTTGGCTTCGAGCCTCAGCATCTGTATTGGTCAGGGTCTGGCAGAATCTCTCAGGAGACAGCTATACCAGGCTCCTGTCAACAAGTGCTTCTTGGCATTAGCAATAGTGTCTGTAGATGGGATGGATCCCTAGGCGGGGCAGTCTCTGGCTGGCCTTTCCTTCAGTCTCTGCTCCACTCTTTGTCCCTGCATTTCCTTTAGACAGGAGCAATTCTGAATCAATATTTTTGAGATGGGTGGGTGGCCCCATCCCTCAACAGGGGCCATTCCTAACTACTGATATGGTCTCTACAGGTTCTATCTCCCCTTTGTTGGGTATTTCAGCTAATGTCATCCCTGTTGGATCCTGGAACCCTCTTGAGTCTGTTTTTCTTTAGTGAGTTGCTTAGATATGAAGAGACTATTTTCTATCATTAGATAAATTTTAATTTTTCTTTATTTTAAATTTATTTTTATTTCATGTGCATTGATGTTTTGCCTGTCAATATGTCTGAGTAAGGGTGTTGGATTTCTTGGAACAAGAGTTATTGTTAGCATTCTGTCTAAATGCCACCCCACAGTTACCTGGCAACAGCCAGGTATGCTCTTTCCCACAGTTACCTGGCAATAGTCAGGTAGGCCTGCCCCACTATAAAAGGAGCTGCTTGCCCCCTCCTCTCTCTTTTGCTCTCTTGCTCTGCTATCTTGTGTCTTGCTCCCCTTTTGTCCCCTCGCCCCTTCCCCCTTCCTCCCTCTCTCCATGCACTCATGGCCAGCTTCTACTTCTCTTTTCTTTCTCTTCTCTCTGTCTCTCTCTCTGTCTCTTTCTGTCCCTCTCTCTCTGTCTCTGTCTCTGTCTTTCTCTCTGTCTCTCTCTCTCTGTCTCTGATTCTCTGTCTCTATCTCTTTCTCTCTCTCTCTCTCTGCCTCT